CGGATCCATTCTCAAGCCCCCTTTCCCCTCTCAAGACTCAAGATCCATACGAGCCACCCACTCATCTCGCACTCTTCGCCTTGGAGGTACTACACCCTGAAGTACTAGATACAGCAAACTGTCTCAACAGTTCCTCTTCATCATCGGAGCTAATCACAATCTCCTCCCAAGCCTTCAGCTGTTCGTAGGATCGCATCCATCCTCTTTGCTCTTGCAACCTCTTTGCTTGGTTGGGTAGTGCCTTCACCCTAGATTCCCGGTTCAAACAAAAGGAGTTGTGCAGGCTCAAGCTCACGTTCTTCGCCAGGTCCTCCTCTAGTATCGATTCCCTCGCCTTGGTATTGTCTCTAGACATTTTACCCACTCTCTTCCATCCTGTCGTGATTGCATTACGATGGGTTAACAGGGGTCTCTTGAAAGCTTCCGGCCCAATCTCGGCCTGGAACTGTCGATACTCCTTTTGATGTTTTCTCATGTGATCTTTCGTTGTCATGTACAACCAGGACGTCAGCGTCGCCCGAAACCATGGGAAGTACCTCAAACGGCTCCAGACATGTCTGACTTCCGTTGGTATGGCGAATACCTTGCACGCAGTCTCAAACAACTCGAGTCTCCTACTGTAGTCTATCGCGTATATTGACTCTGCCGTTGGCGTCCCCGCTTCCCGATATATACAGTTTCTCTTTCAAACAATGTGTGAAAAATTAAACTGAATTAAAACATAAAGAACTAGCAAAAACAGAAATCACGCCACGTATTTGTATTAGTACATATAGGATTGTTTCTCAATTCACTCACGTAAAATTCTTTCAATTTTTTCTTGAATTCTGTTTTCGATTTTTCTAAATTGCGCAAAATTATGGGCAGTGAATTCCATTTTTTAGAAGTCAAATGAAAAAATGATTTTTGTAGAGAAGCAGTCGAACAATGTTTGTCAAAAATAATTTGTTTCGTTCTTTCGTTGAGCCTATAATTGGCAGTCGGTAGTCTCAGTGTATTTTCAAAAGCCTTCTTGTTGTTTGTAAGATATTGGTATAAGTATGTTATACACTTTAACTCAATTCTTTTCTCGATTCCAATGAACGATTTGCTAATGCGAAGAAGGGAAGAAGATTTAAAATTCGATCTGAAATATGTTCTTTTTAGCGCCCAGTTCAACTGTTTCTCCAGAGATAGCATCAAAGTAGCATTAATTTGTTGTAAAAAAATTGCTGAATAATCTAAATGTGATAAAACAAGACAATGAAGCAAGGCAACTAATGATAATGTCGGCAGTTGTTGTCCAATTGTATCAATAGTTTTAATCCCTTGGGCCATTTTTTGGAGAATTGTTTTGATTTGAGCATGAAAAGATAAACTTGAATCAAGAATTATGCCTAAATATTTGCATTCTGATTTTTTGGCTACATAATGCCCACTAATTACTAGTTTATCAGTATCCACATTTTTGCTATCATTTTTTTGACAAAATGTTATAAATTCCGATTTAGATGCATTCAGATTCAATTGGTTCTCTGCAAAAAATTCCGTTAGATTATTGAGTGATTTTTGCAATCGATTCAAAGCATCCTCAGAAATTATAGAAGAGGAAAAAACCATACAGTCGTCAGCATATTGAACTAAAGTACAACCCTCATATAATCGCTCTTGTATGTCATTAACATAAATATTGAACAACAACGGACCAAGTACCGTTCCTTGTGGGACACCTCGTTTTATTTCAATCCAGTCTGAAAAAATTCCATTGACGTTTACTCTTTGAATACGTTTGTTTAGGAAGCTAGCAATTAAAGCATTTGCTCCATTTGAAAAACCGAGAGAAAGCATTTTTTCAATTAAAACTTCATGCGAAATAGAATCAAAAGCCTTGGACAGATCTAATAAAGCTGCATGTACGATTTTTTTTGAATCTATTTGATTTCGAATACTTTCTGTCACATAAACAAGAGCATCTTGTGTTGAAATGTTTTTGCGAAATCCGAATTGAAATGGTGTCATTATTTGAAATTTGTCAAGATGTTCTGTTATTTGGGCATGTAAAATTTTTTCAAAAATTTTAGAAAAAGCACAAGTTATTGATATTGGCCGATAATTTTTTGCATCCATTGGGTCATCTTTTTTGAACAAAGGGGTTACGTTTGCTTTTTTCAGTTCGATCGGGAAAATGTTCTCATCTAAGCAAGTATTTATGACAAAAGTTAAATGTGGAACTATAACTGATTGACCGTCAATGATTGCCCAAGCAGGTACGGTACAAGGTCCGAGAGGTTTTCCAACATTGATTTTTCGAACTATATCAAAGCATTGCTTCACTGTAATGTGTTGAAAATGAAAAGATGCAGATTCAGAGGCAGATTTGTTGTAATTCGGAGGCTTTTTAGCGCCGAAAAATTCGCCTAAGTTTGAAAAAATATAATTTAAATGATTGGCAATTTTTATGTCTTGGGTTATCATTTCACTGAAGGAATTTCGTAGAACTGTAATTCGATGGTTGCCAGAACATGTACCTCTAACTTGGTTAATATATTTCCATTTTTGTTGGATAGTGCTGAGAAGTGAAAAACAATTTTTTGAATGATCGAATTGTTTACTTCTAATCAATTTGCTCATTTGATTACGTAAAAACTGGTACTTTGACCAATTATCGCTTGTGCTTTGACTGCGATATGATCTGAGTGAATTCTGTTTCTTAGTCAACAATTGCTGACATTCTGAATCGAACCATTCCGTTTTCAACACGTTTTTTGGTTTAAAATTACGAACAAACTTTTTTTCGATAGGAGCATGTTGCTGTAGAGCACAAGAAATTAAATAAATCATCGTCGAGAACATGTTTTGTGCGTCTGTACATTGATATAAGAGATACCAAGGAAGAGCGGAGAGTGAATTGCAAAATTCATTTTTCTGATAATTTTTCTTATTGAAAGTCGTAATTATCCTCGGTAAAATTTTGCCGCATTTTATATCCGTCAAAATAAATGAAGCAAAATGGTCGGTTTTATAAGGTGTATCAAAACAAAACTCAATGCCGTTTGTTTCATAGTCACTGATTATGTAGTCGATATGAGTTTTTGTTGAGGAACTAATTCTGGTCTCATCGTTTGGACAAAAAACCTTCAATCCATATGGAATAATTATAGAATCTAAATTTTCTTTTTCTTTGCTATCCAGATAATTTATGTTATAATCACCCAAAAGCGTAATTTTATTAGAAACTGAAAAAGCATTATCTATGTTAAGCGTTAATTGTTCCAAAAAATCAATAAAGTTTGATCTGCTTGGGTTATAACACAAATTAACTAACATTTTTTCTTTACTCGAAATGTTAAATGTAGATTTGCACTCAACCCACACTGACTCATATTTTTCTTTATCAAATAAATTTAGATCAGGCCTCAATTTCGGAGCCAATTTGACTGGTATATATAACAAAACGCCACCGCCTTTCTTTTTTACCGCTGATTGCCTATCATATCTGAACATCGCATGCGTTCTAGGTTGGAAATTCCATAAATTGTCACTATCTTCTTTTTTAAGCCACGTTTCGGAAATTCCTATAATTGTGTTTTCGCCCATATCATCAAGAAATTTTTTCAATTGCATCCGTTTTCTAATAATACTTTGAAAATTCAAATGAACAAATTTAAGATTTGCACAATTTTTTGAGCAGATACCGTAGACTGTTTCAATGGTTTCGATAGGACCAGGGTTTTTTTCAACATCCCCACTTTGGGTCAGTAACAACGCGAAAAGGAAAAGATGAGTCAGTGTGGTAGCTCTCCGCTCATTTATCCCACATTTCGTTGATAATATCTTTTGCTGGCAGCTTAGATAGCCCCAGTAAACAATAGTTTTTTCTTTAGTTTCCATCTGAGCCTTGGAAATTAGAAAAATTGCACAAAACAACCAGAATTTAATATTCAGCATAATAGGTTAAATAAATTAAATAATCGCCAAAGTTTGCACCAAGAAAAAATGCGAAACTAGTATTTCCTAAAAAATTTTGCACCGTTTTGGAAAAATTGTAACATTTCTGCCGTTTTTGGATCTAAATTTGATGATTGTTGGGTTTGCTTCATTCTGGGGCGGGTTGTAATCTCACATGTGTTTGCATTAATATCAGAACCCCTAAAAGAATCTCTAAAACTTTGCACCAAAATTTCAACACCCCCATCAGAAGGATGCAAACCATCCGAGCTAAGAGCATCTGTATTTTGACTAAAAATTTTGTTTATGTCTAAAATATCCAATTTTACTTCGCCCAAGTCTTTTACATTCCGTACTAAATTAAGAATTTGCTTGTTTAGCTTCTGTACATTTGGATTAAAATCTTTTCTAAAAGCGCCTAAGGGAGTTACAGTACATAGTGAAATTGTTTCTGGGGAGAATTTATGATTTATGAGATAAATTAGTTTTTCTAAGCTACTCACGGCTTCCTTCGCGTCGAAATCACTTGAGAGGCAGTCATTTATTCCAATTAGCGTAGTTACATGTTTAAAATGTCGCGATTTACTGTTTCTCACGCGTTCCAGCAATGCAGAAATTTTGTGCCCACCAAATCCTCTCGCCAACACATTTTCCGATATTTGTTCCCCATTGATTCTGTTAACAATTGAGTCTCCCAGTAATAGGCCAGAATATTCTCCTTCTCGTGGTAAAAATAAATGTTTTCGTTGCTGGTCGAATTTTTCTTCTTGAATATTGGTTGCTTGTATTTTGATTTCTTGGTTATTCTTGCTTTCTTGGTTATTTTCGCTTCGTTTGTTCTGATTTCTGCTCCGAGTTCCAATCTTGCTCCATTCGTTTTCAAATTTGTTTTCTGTAATTTTCGAATTATTAAAAACGAATATCTGTAAAGATGGTGTCATAGTACTGCTTGTTTTTTGTTTTGTTTTAGATAGGGTAATGTAAAACGAAGCTTTGTTACTTTAGTGTATTACAGTTAGGGGCGCAGTGCTCTCACGTTCACATCAGTGTAAATTGTCAATTGAATTTAGTAGATGGCAGTTGCAACAGCTCCAGGTTGCGCATCCTCCAACCCTGGAATGAATGTCAGTTTTGGTGTTTCTGGAAATAATATACCAAGAAGTTCTAGCCCGAATAATAATGGTGGAAATAACGCATCTTGCACAATACAAAGTTTGCTACAAACTGCAAAAAAACTGGCTGAGAGATTAAACGAACATGAGACAAATGTTGAAAGCATTATCACTCAGACACAGGAACTCAACAAGCATATGGTTTCTATGAAGACAGTAAGTGCAGAATTCTTATGGGTTAAATCTGGGGCCTGTTCAATTATAGAGTAAGAGTTTTCAATGTGTTCTTGTGTTTTAATTTTTGGTTTTTTGTCCTTTTTCGGCGTTATATGCTTCGGCCTATTTAAATTGGCTTAGTGGCCTCATTTCGACTAGTTCAAGGGTAAAATAATTTTTATGCTCACTGCTGGATTGCACAAAATGCTAAAAACTTTAATAGAAATTATTTTTTCATGACTATTTGTTTAAGCCTTTATTATATTGCGCCATTCGATGGGCGAAAAAAATTGTGTGTGCTTGTCTGTGTTTTGAAGGTGAGGGGAACTTAATAACTTCTGATTAGTCTTAAAAGTTCTTGAATTTTTTTTCGATTTTTTGCATTTTCTTTTTTTTTTCGGCTTGATAGGTTTCGGCCTATATAAATCAGCTTAGTCGCCTCAAATTGCCTCGTTTTACGAGCTGTGTATGTGTTTTGAGGATGAGGGGGATTGAATAACTTGAAAATAGTCATAAAATTGTTTTTATTTTTATTTTTTTTATTTTCCTTTTTTTTCGGCTTTATAAATTTCGGCTAATATTATATCGACATAGTGACCGCATATTGTTTCGTTTGACGCGTGAATGAAGTTTGTGTGTGTGTGTGTGTGTGTCTTTGTTTGTTTGAGGGTATGGGGAACTTGATAATTTTTTTTTAAATTTCGGCCTACTGGGTATCTGCTAAGGTATTTCCGGTTTTGTTACCGCTTGATAACTTTTCTTTTGATGTTATTTTCACATTCTATTGTCTTGGCTCGTTTTTATTTCAAAAGTAGCCTTATCGATAGATATAGTTTTTTTTCGAAGTTAGCGAATAATTTTTTTCGACTTAGCGGCTTTCTTGTTTTGTATCGCAAGTGGTGCGAAGCTCAGCTTCCTCTCTGTGTCGAAAATACTGTCTGGACTTTTATTTCTTTGCAATATTTTGAACGAGTTGAGGACAAAAAGTTGGCTAGACTGCTCGCCGAAGAGACTTCGGGTCGAGATTAAAAACTTTCAAAAAGCCTAAAAAATGCTTTTTTTTGTATTTTTTTTGTACATTTTGGCATAGCTGTTGCTCCAAGCCAATGAGTGTATATCTGACGTTATAGTTTGCAAAATGCACAAAGTAGTCACTACATAATATTTTTTGAACTAAGTCAAGAATCCATTACATCCTCACAATGAATGATGAAAATGGATATCGAATTGAACCAAAAATCTAGGCATTAAAGGTAACGATAATTGAACCCAATTTTTTATAATTGCTGTAGGGCATCGCTGTTAACTTGATAATTTCAATATGGGAATCTTCCCAAAAGTTTGCCTGAAAAGATAAAGTTTTGAGTTTGAGTTTAATTCGGGAAAAACATGTTTGGGCGAAATTTTTTTATCATTCGAGTGTTTTGGCTTCGAAAAGAATTTTGAGATTTATTTTTTTTATTGGAAGTGAAACATGGGACAATATTTCCTTCTTAATGATCAAGTGAACTATCCCCTAAGAAACAAAAGACAGATTATACAAGGATGGCTGGTTGCTCTTCAAGTATCTCAGATTGTTCTGACCACATAAATGCAACAAATTATTACAAAATGAATACAAAACTCACGGTGTTTTTAAGATTCATTGAACTTAGTGTAGACTTGTATATAGGTCTTGGCGAGTTTGTTCTGTTTTTTTCTTTCAGGAAAAAGTCTCTTAAGTTTGTTTACGCTCAAATTTGTTTTTTTTTGCGGTTTGATTTTTGATTTCTTCTTAGTTTCAGTTGATTTCTTTTGCTAAAAGGAAATCAAACTCCATTATCGAACAGAAAAATGTTAAAATTCACAAAAAAGTGACCAAATTCAATTTTTGAATGAGGGTTTTACTCTTCTGATTTTTCAGCGGAATTAAAGTCTTACTTTTTGATCCAGTTTCTTCAAATTGAGTTGATTTTACTTCTTATCCGAGAGCAAGTGTTTTGTATTCGGGAACAAGACTTTTTCCCAAGTAAAGAACATTCTTTTTCAATAGGTAGGTATGGGTACCTTGCTTTATGATTGAACCTCGTCACCCTTCAAGTCTCTTACCTTTTAGTCGAGAGGTCAAGAACGCGACTTCGGTTAATAAGGTATAAGATTCGATCCTCAGTGGCACTGTTTTTTGAAGGTCTCTAAGAAATTCACCTTGCTTTTTCTATGGAACCTCACAATCAATCATTCAAGCCCCTTTATTTTAATCCAGAAGTGAGGCACACGCCCTCGGAACATCTTTTGATGTATTAGAGTAGTTTTTTTTGAAAAAAAGCACGAAATTTTTCTCTTCAAAGCATTTATAACCTCACGCTTAAGTGATTTAAACTATAATTGAGTCTTTTGGCAGTCTGTAAATTAACAAAATTAACTAATTGAGCTAAAATTCTCAAAAAAGATTGCTCTGTTTTTGTGTGTTGCAATGAATAGAGCGTAAGAGTTCGCTCATTGGAATTTTCTGTGACATCCTTTTGATTTCGGTTCATGTGGCGTCTATTGAAGTGTTTTCGGTTTAATTACGCTCGATGACCGATTTTGAATGCATTTTAACGGCGAAATTTTTGTAAATATATATTTTTCTTCGATTTTTCAAAGTAAAGTCTCATTTTCTGTATGCTAATTTACAATGCTATGTCGGTGTGGTATCGCAAGTATTGCGTAGCTCCACTTCGCCTCTTTGTCATAAAGTGACAATCATAAACTGTTCTTTAAATTGAAAGAGCTGTAAGGTCATAATTTTTTTACTTTGAAATTTGAAAGTTTTTGTTAAAAACAAACCATTGTTTCATTTTCTGTTTACTTGCGTTCATTGACTCTTTTCCATCTGGCTGTTGACTATGTTTGTTTGAATAGTTGCCCAACTTAAAAGAAGAAACTGGTCGGTTCTGGGAATTGTTCAATAGTTTCATCAATTTAACATTGTCGCCTTAATATGATGTCATCCTTCCGTCATGCAGTGGTCTGTGGTTAGGCTAGAAATGACCGTTACATTGCTATATAAAAGGATCAAACATCTTTTTTGCTTGCGATTACTGTGTTCAATTTCGAGAGAAAGTGTACTTGTAATCGAAAACTATAATGTTCTTCCCGCAACCAACTTTTCTCAAGTTCCTTGTTTTTAAAAAAAACAGGTATTAAGAAAATCTATGGGACTTGGTGTTTTAAGAGTAATGAAAGTAGCGGATACTCTTATATCTGACTTATTTTTTTGTTGTTTCAAGAAAGTCTTAAAACGTTCTTATGGCTACAGATGTGCATTCATACATATTAATGAGTTTGTGCTTTTTATCACTTCAATTCAATTGCATATGTTATAAATAAGGTCATTTGCGCTCTCCAAGTACCAACGTGGAAATGGCGCGAAAAAAAAACGTGTGTGACTTCCAGTTTCGAAAGCGGAATTTATTTTTTTTTCGACTTGAGGGGTTTCTGCTCAGATGTTTCCGGCTTTGTTACTGCTTGCTAAGTTTTCAACCGATGCTATTTTCGCTTTTTTTTCAGGCTATGATTTTTACAAAACAGTTTCCATAAATGTTGATAGATCTATTTTATTGTACTCAATGTTTTGGCTGAATTTCAGCTTCGTGGCTGCCGGTTTTGTTCCCCTTGGCCTATTAAGAGGCGATGAACATAGTTCAGACTCTTGCGCGATGATTTTTTTTGCTTGTTCAGGCTCAAATTTACTTTTTCGAGGTTCGAAATTTGATTTTTTTTTTAAAATTTGGATTCATTTCCTTTGTTAAAGGAAGGCAAACTCATTATCGAACAGCGAAAGTTATAAGGTCACCAAAAACGTGATTGAATCCTAGTTTCGTAAATGGAATTTAATTTTGAGATTTTCAAGCGACATAAAAATTTTTCCTATTGATCCTGTTTGCTCAAATTACAATTATTTTATCCAAAAAATGCCAGTCAAATTTTTCTAGAAATTCGGAAGGCTTCAAGGGCATCTATGTTTTTCTTCAAATTTCACAAGTCAGTTTTTTTTCTTTTGAATTGCGTGAATTGAATCTTTTCCAACTGTCTGTTGGCTATGTTTTACTAATTATTTCGATATATTGTTTCCTCGACTTTTCCGGTATTAGTTATGTAATTGATATAACGTTGGCGCCAAAATTTGAAATGCTCAAATATTACACCTTTAGGTTCCTCTTAAAAACATTTTTTAAAAAAATTTAAACGTAAAAAATTTTTTAGATTTTTTCGTTTGTTCTAGATCGTCTTCGCTAAATCTTGATAGTCATGCTTTTTAAACCCTGTACTTTTTGCGTCGCAAAGGGTGGGAATCTCAGGTTCACTTCTATGTTTACTTCGGAAATCGAAAGTTGAAGTTTGTTTCCAAAAATGAGTCAGTTTTTTTCTGTTCACTTGCGTTCATTACTCTTTTCCAATTGTTAGTTAGCTGTTTTATTTTTGTAATTTTAAAAATTGTGAGATGCGGAAAAACTACTAACTATTGTTTTAAAAATTACTCTGCCGATTTTCCAATAGAAAGGCCGCCCTCTCCCCTGTGTGCTTGCATATAAGCCTGAACGCTTTCTTTTTCTTACCACACTATCTACAGCGTTCTAAAAATCCTAATGGGGAATAATTGTTCCATGTTTTTGGATTTTTGTTTTCCTGTTTACAAGATTTGGTTGCTTTTAAAAAAATGGGTCGTGGAAAGCTCCCTTTAAGCGGGTTCACGCAATGTTTTTTACGCAACAACCTATGGCTCTCACAAAGCGCAGAAGCGGTGACTCCAATTCTAATAGAAAATTTTTGTGTTATTGGGAAAAATAATTTCTGAAATTTAAATCGTTTTCGCATTTTCTGGAACTATCCTGCCAAGTCAGATTCAATTGAAAGAGCAAATTGATTTTCATTAGTTTTTGGAAACGTTTTTTTTCCACCAATAGTCTCGACAATTCTGAGGTTATTTTAATTGAAATCATATAGTGCTAAAAATTTTCCCTGTATAAACGGTTGTAATCTTTTTTCTTGAAAAAAATTCTCTCGAAAACTACCCTGCTAGATTTTGATTTCAATTGAAAGAACGGGTAGTAGGTATCTCACCTGCATACGCGGCTCATTTCTTATTAAAGTAGTTTTTTAGAAGAAAAACAACTAAGCTTTTGGCTAGTAATTTTTTTTTTCTGAAAATTTATTTTTTTCCTTCCATTTTGATCGCTTATGAATCTTTTTCGACGTTTTTGTAAAAGTGACTTTTTTTCGAAAAATACCCTGCAATTCCTAAGTTGATGGTTCAATCGAGTAATTCGGTGGTTGGAATTCTCTCTGAACAAGCGGCTACACCATAATTGTTGTAGAAAGAAAGTTGCGGCCCTAAAAAACGTCTGATTTTTTAAACCGTTTTTGTGAATACTTTACAAAAAATCAACTACCGTTTCTAAGATTAAAGCTTAGATCAAAGGAACAGGTTATGAGAATCACCTTCGCTGAAGCAGCTACAAACTCATTTTGTAGAAAACTGTTCTGAGCTGAAGTAAAGTCAATGTTTTGATAGATTAGCAAGCGGTATCAAATCGGAATATAGATTTTTTGTTTGAGAGAATCACTTGGTACCTTGAAGCATACTGATATCAAATTTCGAGCCTCCTTGGCACACTCAGTCTGGAGGTAATTATCACGCCTGGGACGGCAAAGGTCCTAGGTTCGAATATGACGAGTACCTGTTTTTTTTTTCAAAAAGGAAATTATCCTTTCAAAAAAATTGTCGGCTTATTGTCTGCTTAAATTTTATCGGCTTAGTTAACACATTTTAATTTTTTTGCTGTCTACAGTTTTCATTGTAATTGCTTTTATGTTTTCATTTACCAACCTTGTAGTTCTACCAACCTTGACTTCGTATATTTTCTTTTTTTGACTTTTTTGATTACTCACCTAACTTTGGGTCGTTCGAGGTAACCATACATTGTATGCTTTCCTCCGAATTGCACAAAGTGTTGAAAATCTCTGAATATAATTAAAATTTCATATTTTTTCATGACAACAATTTTTATTTTCGCTCAACAATTGTCGCCGTCGAATGTGTTTCTGGACGTGTTTTCCGCATATAGAATATCATTCTTTACAATATTTTGAATTTTTCCAATTGTGATTTGTTCGAAAACTTTTCGCATTTTCTTTGGTGTTAGTGGCTGTTTTTCTTTTGCTGTCTGCTTGCTTACAATGTTACTTTTGTGGTATCGCGAGTGATGTGGAGCTCCGCTTCGCCTCTGTGTTGGAAGCATTTTTTGAAAAACTTTCTTGCTTATTTTTTTGATGTTAATGGTTCAATTGGAAGAACTCAGTGGAAAGATCTTCTTTACCTAAATGGGTAAATTTTTAACGGTCTGGAAATTTATCCCTTTTTCTTGAAAACTACTCTGCTAAGTCTGACATTGCGTTCAATTGAAAGAACGAGAAATAAGAATATCTCCTACATAACTCTTTATTTTAGTTGAGAAACCATAAGCTTACTCAAATTAGCTGATTGAAAAAATCTTTCCGGATTCGTGATTTTCGTCCTAATTTTCGTCGGCTCATTTTCTGTATTGTTTTCAAATGCCATTTTTTATTATCTCTTACAGTTTTAATCGAGCATACTCCAAAGCATGGGTTTTAATTAGGATTTAATTTTGTTGTAGAGTTATTGTAATTTGTAAATTTACCAACTCTGATTTTGAAAGTGTTTTTTTTCTTTTCGATCAAACGTTTGCGGTTAATGTTATATCGGTTATGTGCTTTAATAGTGCGTAGATTTTACTGGGTGTTATTTGCGAACGTTTTTTGTCTTTCAGTAGGAATGGGTCTTAGAAATTTGTAAGTTAATTTTTTTGTGACAAGTTTTGTTTTAAAGGATAAACGTTAGGAAGTTGCTGATACAGTTTTTTATCGATTTTGTGAAGTTATGTTTCAACTCAAATTTTCAAAAGAAAAGATATATTTTCGGTCTCTTTTTCTCTTCACCATCTTCAATGAAATGTTGTATTTCTCAAGGGTTTTGAAGCTCCGCTTCGCCCCTGTGTAGTTAAGACTCTTGTATAGGTCCCGATGATTTTTTTTTGTTTCTTTTTTTTTTCAGGTAAAAACTTAAATGTTAATCAGGCTCGAATTTAGCAGTTTGCCTTTTAATTCTTTTTAAGTTCCATTCACTTCCTGTGTTAAAAGGAAGGCAATTACCTTTATCCAACAGCAAAAGTGTAAAGGCCAGGAAAAACGGGATCGACCTCTAATTTTGAAAATAGAAATTATTTATCAGATTTTCCAGCGAAATAAAAATTTTACCTATCGATCCAGTTTTCTCAAATTGGGTTAATTTTACTTTTAAAATGTCAATCATAAATTTTTCTAGAAATTCAAATAGCTTAAAGGCAATGTTTTTTTTGAGAAATTCGAAAATTAAGATGTTTTCAAAAATTTCACATTTTTTGTTAACTTGCGTTCATTGATTCCTTTCCAAAGGTGTTGGCTTTGTTTAATTTTTTCCAGATTTATCAGGTTTTTTTAAATTTCTGTTTTTCTACTCATGTTGCACCGAAACATAGATAATTGATATATGATATATGTAGTTATCTATGCCCTAACTTATCGTTAGGTTTTTAATCACAAAATTAGTTATATTCAATTGCTTTCGAAGATGAGGTATTAGCGTAGAGTTTGTGAAATAAGCATAAAGGAAAGTTCGTAATATATGGAAGTTTTCCTGGCATTTTTGTTTTGTAATTCAAGTGGCGTGAAGCTCGGTTTAGCCGCTGTGTCAAAAAAAAGTGTCAATTTTCGAAACGCATAGAAAGAACCTCCTTCATTATTGCGCTTAAGTTTCTGTTTACTGTATTTTTTGCTAGTTTATGGGTAGTTTTAGTAGGGCGCAATATTCTTTGGAAAACTTGGGCATGACTGCAATTAGGGTCTCCGGGAGTATCTTTATTTGAACACCGTTCTATTCCACAAAAATAGACATCCGATAGAATTTCAATCTTCAAGTTTTCTTTAAATCAACATTAAGTTCTGCCATAAAACATCTAAATTGTTTTTGTGTTTGAGATGAGGAAGCATTTCTTGGCTGTCGGCTGATTGTTGTGTTGTGTTGTAGTACAAGGACGAAGTGGATGGTATAAATGAGAACAACAGACCTCGTCCCCAGCTGAACAACAGCCGACGCCAGCTGATCAAAGGCATCCAGTATGAGAACAGACAGATCAAGACTCTGCAGCGGGAGAACGAGGAGTTGAAGCAGGCGCTGGAGGAGCACCAGAACGCCATGGAGCTGATCATGAGCAAGTACAGGGAACACGTGTCCACTCTCTCCCAGTACGCCAAACTAGACCTCACCACCTTCAATGCGGCAGTCAACCAACGGGTCAGTGCTATTCCTCACTTGCACACATTAAGTTCCAACATGAAACAAATTTGATCAAGTAGTCAAAAGCCTATCTAGAATTGTTAATGGACTAAAAAATGACACTCGATGCCAGCTTGTTTGTATATGCAAGTCATTTAGTGGACAGAAAAGACAGCAGAAGTTAGGTTTGTTCAGAAAATCATGAACATGAGTGGATAAATACTTATGCCTCATATAACTATTATTCTGTTTGGTCAATCAGGCTCTTGATAATAATCTCATTCACTCAATCAATCGTTTGAATATATCTAGATTGTTACTAAAATCTAGAATTGTTACTTTTAATTATGGCTCTACGAGTACATGGTTGTAAATACTATTATAGAGGTGTTTTCTTATGTCTGCGTTTGTTTCTAGGAGATTGAGCAGAAGAATGCCAAAATAATGGAGATGGTGTCAGTGATGCAACAAGTGGTGAGGTTGGACGAGAGCTCTGCTTATGCTGCCGAGAAGAAAATAGCGGAGTTGGAGTACCAGAACAAAACACTCAGAGAACTGCTCAAGGTCAGCCAAGACTTCAAGTCGCGCATACTGCTCGCATCAGCCGCAGAACCCCATACCGCCGCATCACCCGTCAATTCTGGCGGAGGCCCCGATACAGCTGGAATTGTACAGGGAGATGACCCGAACTCCAATAACTCGAGTCGATCCACAGACGAAAACAACTCGGAAGGGGAAGATGCCGATGTCAGTTCTCCGAATGCCGATTTGATGTTTGAATATCCCAGCAGGACAGTTAAGAAGAGACCATCTCTAGGTTAGATTTAAATTGTGAAAATAGAGACATCAAAAGTTATTAAATCATCTTTTTTCGCTCAAGCGGAAATTCTGTTATAATGCGAGTCCTTTTTTCACTTCATACGAAGTCGCATAGTTTAGCAGGAAATTTTTATTTAGGTGTCATGTAAACAGCTATATCTGGAGTCAAAATTTTGAAAATTTCTCACGCTCCGTTTTGAAAACAGCTTGAGGTGTCAAATTCTTTTCTACACAAGCAAAGCTAGGTCTAGGTTGCAAATATTAGTGTTCATTTTGATCAATAACCGGCTATTAAGTTCAGCGAATGCTAAGAAATTTAACACAGACTATTTAATTATAAGTAGCACTTTAGCTTCAAGGTATCATAGATCTGTAGCGTAGAGTTAGGGAAGGAAACCCGCAACAAAATAAGAGAGTTCGAACCTGGGCAGGGTCGGATGTTTTAATGAACTTTTTCGTATACTAGTTGAAATGCGTCCGCTCTATAAATTGAGGCATGTTAATTGGTAAGTTTCTTTTTCTTCAAACTGACTGGTACTCCTAATGCGTCATAATTGGCTTGCGCCACCTAGCAATTATTTATACTCATAATTGGCGTGCGTAACTTGAGAAATTTTTTAGGCTCAAAGTTTTACTCGTTCAGTTTTTCCCGGTAGAGTTATTGGTCATATTTTGCTTGTGTATGTGAAGTGCAACTTCACCTCTGTGTAGAAAATTGCGGTTCAATTTCTTGACTTTTTTTGAAAAAGTTTGACTCTTGTTTTTTACCATTTAAAGTGTATTTAGTGTTTTAGAATCTAGAGAATTACTCGAATGTTCCTTTATTTTCAAATTTAAAAAAGGACAGCCGGTTACTGTGCAAGTAGCACCGAATGTTCCCACCATAGTCTTAAAAATACAAAAAAAGGTTTTTAAAATTAGTGTAGCTTTTCGTTCAGATCCTTTTTACACATGCGCAGTAAAGTGTATGATTACGAAGAGTTTTTCTAACCTAAGTCGCAAATAAAAGTGCTCATTTGGTGGCACTTTTGGTAAATTTCAATTTAATCATATATAAGCCTATTTAAGCATCGACAATTTAATAGCAATTTAATCGACAAAAATTGTTGGCTAGTGTTAGGTCCTGTTTAAAAAACATATTTTGTGAAAATGTATGGGATTTGTTGTTTTTCGTTTTTTTTTGCGACGCTTTGGAAAATTTTTGCGACTCTTTTTTGTTACCTCACGTTTTACGGCCATCGAAAGTTTCAGTAGGGGGATTAATGGCCTATTGTTTTGATTTTTTATTCACTCAAATATTAAATGCTTAAATCTGAGATGAAGGTTTTAATTCGCGAAAAAATTATGGGGATCTACACTTGTCAAACGGCTATTCCCTAAAATCGGCAGGAAAAAACGATATGGCATCAAACAAATCCATTTGGTTAATTTTAAAAACTTTTTGAATGGTCTCAAAACTACCTTCCAAATCTGAGATTGAAGGTTTAGCCGAAAAAAAAATCGATTATGCGAATCTTATCAGCGCAAGCGGCTATGCCCTGCGTTTTGAAAAAAAACTATGGACTCAGAAAATATCCAATTTATTACCATATGCCCATTGTTTTTTTTTTTTTTCAAAAATTAACCTGCTGATTCTGAGGTTAAATCTTTCAAAATGACATGGTGATTAGATTTTGCCCGCGTAATCTGTTTTATCCTGTTTTTTTTTTGTAGAAAAGCTGATATATGGACTTCTGAAAAATTTGTTGTTAATTTTTTTCCGTTTCTTGAAGACACTTCGAAACTATTCTCTAAAGCTATAAGCTAAATCTTATATGAAGGATTCAATCAAGAAATTTAGGGCGCGGGAATCTTCAATTGTAAAATCAGGATGTGGAAAGCAAAGGATGTTTCCATCCTTTACAAAAGAAAATTTTCTGCATTTAGGAACAGTCTAATTTTTGATCGATTTTGGAATCTTTTCGCGTTGTTTCGAAAACTGCCCAGCCAAATCTGAGATAAACACTTCAATTGAAAGAGCGAAAAGTAGTTTTCTAATTTAACTAAGCGGCTAATCCCCTACTTAAGCACGGAAACTACTAGTTTAGCGTATATCCCATTTTTTGAAACTTTGAAAATTATGCATTTCTGTATCAGTACAATATATGATTAAACGTATTCGAACAGGTAAAAATCCACCTTTAGCTGGGCCACTTGTTAATTTTCAAGCGACCATAGCGCTGATACGAGGACCTGATACTCCTAATCAACCAGTCAGATATTCAAATCCGGAACATTTGAATAGTTTTATTTGTTTTGGTCGAATTTTGCCACATAACACTGGCAATTTTGATAAAAACTGAAGCTGCTTTATTGGTGGCTTGTGTTAGTAAAATTACAAGCGGCCTAATGTTTTTCCTAAAAACTGAAGCTGCTTTATTGGTGGCTTGTGTTAGTAAAATTACAAGCGGCCTTAAGTTTTTCCTATTCATCCTACCGTCATTGATGATGTTTCTTTGACAGCTTTTTGAAGGCCATTCTGAAGCTCATTTGTTCTCTGTAGAGAGCAAAATTTTTTCAAATATTCAGGCATTTCCACGCCATAAATTGTTTATGCATAAAAACCCTTATTGAAAAACAAATCGTTCTTTGATAGGCAGCCAATGTAAACTATCTTAGCTCATTGTATGATTCTTGCTTCATGATTCCAAATAGGAACTTGCAGATTTTTAGACACTTTGCAAATTTTCTACCTTGTGTTTCCTGTGGCGTAACGATACAATACTGGAGTCTGCTCAAATAAGACTTTTCACCAGTGAGTTAATATTTTCAAGGTTTAAAAACTGTTGAAAGCGGTACAGTTTTTTTTTGAGTTGGACATAGCAAGCGTTCCAGTTAGAGTTTTATGTCTCGTTAAGTTGAAATTCGTATCTATATTTACGCCCATAGAAGTAATAAAAGGAACAGAATCGGTTTTTGTGTTTCCAAGAATTAGATTATCAGGCTTCACGTTATTTATTTTCAACTTGGCACACATTATTTCTGTTTTGTCTGGCTTGATCTTCAATTTCAGCTCATGGAACATTGTAAGTAGTTTCGTTACGATTGTATTTATTTCACATTTTTTTTGAATGGGTCGCTTTTCTTTCTAGTTATACATATATCAAGGTGTCATCAGGGTAGATTTGGTAAGAGAGACCCATAGATTTAAGATAATTGCCTATCGTTGTCACTGTACCAAGAATTGACCATTGTGGGACTCCGTTCTCTACTTCACCTTGAAAGATTTCCCTATTGACCTATACTGTTTGTTTTTGGTGGGATATAATCCACACCATATAATCGTTACAAACCCCTTTTATACTGAACCGCCCATGTAGTATATAATTCAAAATTTTATAATTTATGGTATCGAAAGCCGCTGATAAGTCTGCTCCAAGCACAATTACTAGAGCGTTTTCGTTAAGTTGACATATAATCTCGTTCATCATTTTAAACAAGCAGGCTTCTGTGGATTGTTTACTTCTAAAAGCGGACTGGTTGGTATCTAGCAGCTTATTACGTTCTAGAAAAACAGTCAATTGAGAGGTCACTACTCTTTCAATAATCTTGGATACTGTCTTTTTTATTTGCAAGTGGTTGGTAATTATTTAAAACTTCCGGGTCCAATGACGGTTTTTTCAAACGAGGATTCATATTTGCTATTTTGAAACTCTCTGGGTAAGTCCCTTGCGCCAAGCTACAGTTTATTAATCTACTTGAAAATTTTTCCAGGCTCCTGAAATTGTTTTCAGATAAGGAGTTGGTATCTTGTCGAAAAGACATGAGCTGTTAGAAGTATTTTGTTTTGCTTCTTCCAAATCTCTGTCAGATACAGTTTTAGCTTATAAGTTTTTAACTCTGAAACTGATGGGGATTCAGCCCTGAAATGCACTTATCCGCTTCTTTGAGGAGTTCCTAATCATGTTTCCCGGCTCATTATATTCCCTTATTCGCGTAATAACTGCGTCATGTGAAAAATGAATAAATTTTATCATTCTGTTTCTCGAGGGAATTTCAAAGCTATAGCTCAAAACCACCACCTAAAATTTCACCAACAATTTTGTTTTCGGTTCAACTGGCGTGTATCCAAATTTTGTTGGCACAGTTGCCCCTCCGAGAAATATTGTAATGCAAATTCATAATGCAAATCCACGACTTCCTAACTGCGAGTAAAAGTGGTAATTTGGCGGCACTTTTGCTGCATAGCGTCGTAATTTAATAGCACCTGTTTTAGTGAGACGCGCAATCTCCAGGTCGGCAGTTCGTTTCCGGCACAACAACGTTGTTTTCGAGGCTTGTTATAACTTTTATTTCCTTTTTGTCATTTTTTTTTTCATTTTAATTGATCTGCTCATTGTTATTTTCTTGTGCTGTTGTTCGTGGAGTACAGCTTCGGCTCTTTGTCAGTTTTTTGCATCGACTTAATGGCTTCCGCTCATTTAGTGGTTTCTGCATATTCTGCGCTGCCTTTAAATTGACTGGTTGCCTATATATTCTATTTTTTTTTTGTTTTCAGTATCTCTTTCGGATTTTTCTTTCGGATTTTTTAAGAGTCGAAGAACGTGGTTTATACTCTTATTTAGGTCGTGGCTTTTTTTAAAAAAAAAAAGTAAAGCAATTGAACACCGAAAGTGTAAAGGTCACGAAAAACATGATCGACTTCAGTATTTTTTGCCTGTTTCTTGCGATCATTGACTCTTTTCCAACAGTCAATGGCCTGATTTTTCAATCTGTCTTTTGGAACTTTTTATTTAGATTTTCTTATGCGTCACGAGTTTCCTTAGAATATGATTTTCCAACAATCAAAATCGCAACTGGTGCGAAGCGGAGATCGCCTATATTTAATTTTATAAATGCATATATTTTTGGACCACAAGTGATGTTAAAAAGAAGCGGTTTCTCAAATTGAGTAAATCGTATCAAAAATGTAAAAACGATTTCTGAAAATTGGCTCTCGGGATTTCAAAATTCGAATGAAGATTGAACTACTGATAAACTTTTAGTTGCGAAAGTTCAATGAAGAATCGTCCTTGCTAGCTAGGCGTGAGTTTCCATGCTCAAAGATGGATAGAAGTTTTGTTTCGATAGGAGTACTCCATGCGTATTGTGAGAGCCTTTGTTATCATATACAGTTTATTAGGTTTGAACAACAGTGGCAGTAACTCAACCGCAGGTCTATTTGCGACACAATTTGCACCAGAGTCCAGTCAGAACAACTCACTCTCCTTCTCACCCTCAGACTCGTTTTCGACTGGTTCTCACTCATGGGTAGAGGAAGGGGAAAGGACACGCCCGGATGCAACCCAATCCAGCAGTGGAGACCAGGGTAACCCAAAGTCGGAGCACACTGGCCAAGTGACGATGAACGGATTCGGTCAAAGCACAAATGGAGATGCGAACGCGGGACAGCCTCTCACAAACGGACCAGTGGTTGAGTTTGAGTTCAAAAGGAATGCGAACAGTAATAATAATAACAACAACAACTCTTTCGAAGGTGCTTCAATGAATAACAAAGCAACTTCCTCAGGTAACTGTTTTAGTGATATTTTTTGTGAAGATGTGTTGATTGAAATCGCGATAAAACTTAAATATCAAACTTATATATCATGCAGATTTAACAAAAAAATTGTACTTTCTAGAGAATATTTAATACTATGACGTATATAGGATATTTCCAATTCTTTTTGGTAGCGGTTATTTTTTGTGCATGAAAAAAGTCAAATATTACTTATTGAGGTCGTTTTTTTTTCATAGAAAAACGTATTATATGTATGTCGCATGTTCATGATCTGATTTAGATTTTTCAAGTTCAATCAAATTGATTTGTTAATTGCAAATCTTATTACGCCTTCCAAAAATGACTCGAAAAAGCTTTCAGACTTCCACTTTTCTCCAATAGGAATACCCGAAACTCAAGCTGCTTTTAACGGTATTTCCCTTTCGATTTGCAAAGGTGAAGCAACCGGCTACTAGACTTTTTTTCCTGTAAACAACTTTGTTCACAGAAATCTCACCTGAAAATCCGGAGCATCTGGTTAGAGGTAACATACCTGCTTGAGAGGGCAAAGACTTTTTCGAATCCTGCCGGGACCTGTTTTTTGCAATCTAAGAGATTTTGTGCTTTTCAGAACATCGTCTGATCAAGAACCAGCCATTAAGTGCAGCCAATGCTACGGATATTAACACAGACTATTGTATTACAAATAAGACTTTAGCTTCAAGATATCATGGTCTGTAGCGTAGAGTTAGGGAAGGAAACAAAATAAGAGGGTTCGAACCTAGTCAGTGTCGGATGTTTTTAATAAACATTTTCGTATACTAGTTAAAATGCGTCCGCTCTATAAATTGATGCCTGCTAGTTGGTAATTTTTTTTCGGGTCGGATGTTTTTAATGAACCTGTTCGTATACTAGTTGAAATGCGTCCGCTCTATAAATTGAGGCCTGCTAGTTGGTATTTTTTTTTTCAAATTGACTAGTACTGCTAATGCGTCATAAGTGGCTTGCGTCACTTAGCAATAATGTATACTCATAATTGGCGTGCGTCGCTTGAAATATTGTAGACTCAAAGTTACTCATTCAATTTTTCCCCGTAGCTTTACCAGTAACATTTTGCTTGTGTATGGTAAGTGCAGCTTCGCCTCTGCGTTAATTAATCAAATGAACCGAAAAAAGCTGTTTGTTTCAAACAACATAAAAATACTAAAAGTTCGATTTCAGAAATTTTCTAACTCAATATATCTCGCATTTTTTTGAAATGCATAATTTATACATAATGTGGGTTTATGCTTTGCGATTTGTTACATGCAAAGTTAATGTAGCTTCCTTCAGTTTGTTATATTCCAAATTGTTACTTGCAAAATTGTGTCTATTTGTATTTGGTGCCACTTTAGCTGAAGAGCGTTGGCAATTTATTAGCATATGTAGCTCTTTTTTTCTTGATAAGTGTTTGTCGATTGTTTAGGGTAATTAAGCGTGCGAGGTTCAGTAGTTAGTGCATGAGACTCAAATTCTCTTGATTGCAGTAGGTCGCAGATGGAATCCCAGACCTGGCTGATTTTTTTGCTTATTCGAGGTTTATTTCTTTTTTTTTATTCTAAAGCTGCTTTTTATTGTGTTCTCGCTAGTTTTTGCGAAGCGAAGCTTCGCCTTTGTGTTGCCGACTTAATTCCGGTAGGCCTACTTTTTCGAGTGTTAAGCCTTCTTCCAAGCTGCTACAACAACCATGCTTGAAAAGACAAAGCCCGGGAGTTCGATTTCAGTCGGGACCTGTTTTTTTTTGCAATTTTTTTGGCTATCTCAGTTTCTTGTCTGTTTGCTCATTTTTGTTGGCTTAGTTCCCACAGAATGGGTTTATTTCAAATTTTGGCTTTGTTTTAGCATTCCCAAAGCTCTTAACAAAAACGACTTGAAGTTTTTTTTGAACTTTGATTTTTCTTCTCAGATGATTTTAATCATAGTACTTCATTTTTGTATCGCAAGTGGTGCGAAGCTCAGCTTCTGTGTAATTTGTCTCGTTATAGCCATTTTTGAGAAATTTCCAAAAAAGCCAATCAAGCCAGCTCATCGGTTTTATGTTAACAATTGGGTTTGCAAATTGTAAGTTAGTATAAATGCTAATGTAGCGTTTGTCTTTATAACTCTCGGCCGTTTTTCCTCAAAATGAGCTTCATTTGATTAAATATATTACGGCATAGCAGGTTTTTTGATGTTTTTCTTTCAAACGATTTTTTCGGTTCATACGCTTTCGTCTCTTTTTCTTTCGACTAGCATCCCATGCGTTATTTGTGATGTATCGGAGGTGGTGCAAAATTCCACATTGCCCCTGTGTTCAAATTGCTGCAGTTTTATAGAATAACCAAAGCGTCATCGAGTAGATTTTATATAAGTCCCTAAAAACTTCTAAGTTTAAATTGACCATTTCTCTGTAGACTCAGGACTGAACATAACTAATCACCGCAGCCAGCAGCAGCATCATCTGGAGTCAAGTGGGGGGATCTCGAAGTCCAGATTCGGATCTGAGACGGACATCATATCGGACACGGACAGCGACTCCAGCTCCAATGCTTCGACTGTGACTTTGACGCCATGCACGTCGGATAGGGAGGACGAGGACGACACAGGACACCACTGGACCTCCAGTGAGCTGGACCTGGAGGAATCTCTGGCTATATCTTCTACACTATCTTCAGTAGCAGACGAAGTGGAACAGTTCTCCAAAGCAGCCTCCAACTGTCTTCTCACCAACGGATGTTTCGATCCCGATTTTCATAATGCAAACACCACTACTAGTTCTAATATTAATTCAAGTAATAATAACAACAACAATAACTCAGCCCCCATCCCCTCAGTCATAAATGCCCCCTCTACTCCGTCTTCTTCTACGCCTCAAATCACTGCTTCAGATTGTGACGCAGCCCCCCTGCCTAATGGAGTTGCATGATCATTTGCTCCGTGATTCAATTGTTATGTAATAGTTAACGCGACCCAGATTTTTGCCATTAATAGGACACATTGGTTGTTAGTCCTTTTCCAGCGCCTCGCCAGTTTATCCTTAATTGTGCTGTAAAGTCAAAGGGCGAATTAGATTTTATTGTGTATTCAATTTCATCAAGGTGGTTTAGATTAGTTACTTGACATTTCAAATCCAATTATAATAAGTAAATAGTTGACCATGATAACAGAGCTTCAGTATAAATTAACTCATTCGAATTATGGGAGTTTTTTTGTCATTAAGCCGGCAGTTTTGTACGTGGGAAAATTGAATGCAATCGATATCCCACTAGAAGCGTTCAAAACGTCAGGTGTAATTGTTGTCGGTCCATGCTTAGATAGTGAATCGATTTGTTCCTAAAATGAAATTTTGAAAAAACTAAGGACCGACGCATTTATTGGGACTTTACTTAAACGGCCGAAAATAGAAGTTGGGAAAAATTAAGTGAGAATTTATTGCACCTGATTGGTTAAAATCAAATATTTACACAATATACTTATGGAATATTTAGTTTTTTTAAATGGGATTATTGATTAACATCATTTTGGGCCATATAAGTAAGAGGAGCCCATTTATTGCTTCTCTAATTATGAGGTATTGATTAAAAAGGAAGTATTTTGGGCTGTTATTATGTTCTGCACTCCTCGTTACGCTCGCTTCTAACATTTTCAGTTGCATTTCGTTTCAGTCATCTTGTGCTAGTTATTATCTAGAAACATGCAGTCTTCTTTTCACAGCAGCTTATGCAAGATGGCTCCGTTTTTGATTTCACGGTCATTTTGAAAAGGTATGGAAAGTGCTCCTATTTCAACGCATTTTAGCCTCCTTGAGCATAATAGTTGCAATTTTTCAAGGAAATTTACTCAAATATCCACGTAAATCTTAAATATTAGAGCACCTTTTGTTTGATCTACCGTGAAACAAATTTAAAAAAGAGTTGATTGCTAAATAGTTTAGCATATGTTGATCATATGCATTGCCCATGTTAAATATCTTCCAAATTCAGTCTTACTAAATGGAATTAATTAATTACATCATTTTTTTGTCGCGGCTCAGCAAACTTAACTAATAATCCCGAAATTAATAAAATATACTTTTTGAAACTTTGCTTTCTAACATAAACGGTTTTAGTTATGTTTGCTGAAAGTGGACACAATCTCGTTTTCTAAAGTCGGTTTATTATAAAATTTGATATTATAATGTCTTAGGTGTCTTCGGCAGTCACGGAACTCTGGTTGCTATCAAATTTGATTTTTGGTACTATTGAATTTTAATTTTCGAATTGCAGTGAGTAAAAAGAGTTCCATGCTGATGGCGATTCCAAGAAAGCTTGTTAGTTGATTCTTTCAAATAAAACAATTGTAGATGTTGTTTACTTTAATTTACATTCTTACTTACAAAGTCAGTTCTCCATTTTTCTGAAGTAAAATTCCAAGTTGAGATCTAATTACCGATGCAAATCATGAAAATAAATGGCCTTGTTTTCTGCTTTTAAAATTAGTCAGCTAGCGTATTCCATGATTTTTCAATTATAAAGATCAATGAACAATTATGCAAAAATTTTTACTAATGTAGCAAAAATATTCTTCCACATTTAAAAACAAGATCTTTTTGATCAAGCTTAAAAATTCATGCGATAGTAACGCGTTATTTTAAACTCAACATTTCAGTCTTCCTGTGGCCTGTGCCTACATTAATTTTTAGGCCCAACAAGCTTATTTAGGAGGAAATGAATAATAAGTTTTCCTAATCAAAAAAAGCTGAAACAGCACTTCCTACACTTATAAGTAGACACTTGATTTTAACTAGCTAATGAACAATTTTTTTCTTTCACATGTTTGTCGTTTTCTCAGCATATCTTAATTAGTTGTGGAGAAAACTACAAAATCCGAAAAAAAATCGTTCATTCGTGTTGAAATCAAGTCTCCACTTCTTTACTGTAGCTCAGTGTATATTTGAAAAAAAGTTTGAAAACCTATTTTTATAAATCACAATTTACTTGATAATTTTCATATATTAAGTGAACACATTAAACCTGGGCTACTAAAGCTGCAATATTCTGGCTAACGAAGAGATTTGATCTTTTTTTTTATAATCTTTGTTGGAGCCTTATTTTTGTGAAAATAAGCATTCTTTTGTCAATTTTTAAATATGTCTAGATAAAAACAATGTCTTGCATATAAATAAAACTAGTAAACCCGTCTTCATTAATCAATCTGCTCGCAAAAAAAGTTTTTCTGATCTTGATTGAAAAATTCATCGACTGAATCAGTTCCCAAAATTGACGTTTCTTAAGCAAGATATGAAACATTAAGTTATTTCAAATTGTTCCAAAGAGCGAAACAGTTCGATAAAAATAGGACGATATTCAAGAGACAAAACTTCAAGAGAAGCATTTAATTCAATTTTATTTCAATAATTATTCACGAGAAGTATTTCAAGTTATTTCATAGAACTAATTGTTTCAAAGTTTGTTTTTTGAAGCCAGCTATTCAAGCTAAAGGCCTTGGAGTATTCCAATTTTGTTGTTATAGCGAAATTTTTGCGAAAATTTATTTTACCAAGCAAGCGAGAAAATACAAAAGATTTCAGTTTTGGTTCGCATAAAACTTAAGTTTTTTTAATCGATTTAACTTCGAACCTTCAAGTTGTGTCATAGAACGAATCGGCATGCAAAAGTTAAAGTATTTTAAAAGCTAGCTAATGAAACAAATAAATACTAAGCGATCTTTTCAAGCAATGACTTTCAAAAATTCTCAAGTTGCTTCATAGAGCGAATCAGTTAGCAAAAGATTCAAATTTTCCTTCGCAAATTAATCAAGCGATTTAATTTTAAAAGTTTTTGAGATAAAATTACAGCGATTCGGGCACAAAAAAGCTCAGGTTTTTCCTAAGCAAGCTGTTCTAGCTGTGAAAGTATTTCAGACTGATTAGTACGCGGAAGTTTTAAATTTCTCCAAGCAAGCTATTCAAGCGATGAAACCTCGAAGTATGTCAATTTATTTCGTAAAAAGAATCAAATTGCGAAAAATTCAAATTTTCCTGTGCAAGTTCATCGTAAACTTAATTTTAAAGTATTTCAAAATGTTTTCTAGAGCAAATCTATTCGCAAAAAGCTTAATTTTTCTTAGAAAGATATTCAAAAGACAAAACTTAAACATATCAAGGTGTTTCAGAGCGAATTAGCCTGCGAAAATTTGAAAGTCGAGTTATATATCATAATCCAGCAGCTTAAGTCGTCCTTAGAACGTCAATAAAATGGTGATTATTTTGTTTCAGTGTCGAGAAAAACCAGATTGACTATTTTCAGTTTTAGTTTGTCCTAGTGGGTGAAGCGTTATTGTAAATATTTTTTTTTTATCTGGAAATTGATCAGTTAGACTAAAATAACTTGATTTTACCAAGCGAAAACTACGTTTAGAAGCTTCGCTAAGCGTTTTTTGGCAACCGAAAGTTTCAACAAAAAAAAACAGCTTGTGCAAAACATTAATATACTTTTTTTTGTTTCGTTTCAGTTTGTTTGTTCGTTGATAACTTTTTGAAGACATCATGTATCGATTTTGATTAATTTACTAACTGATACGCATTTGAGTAATTTTTGTTCATTACAGCACAAACAAAAACCACACTAACTTGAAAAAATTGAACCAATGAAAAATTGCGTTCCATAACATTCAAAAATCAACTAAAGAGTTTTATTGATTTTTGTTCTGACTTTTGTAACGAAAGTAACGGAATATTTTCTGTTCGGGGTATTTTTTCTTCAGACAAAATTCGTCACCCATCATCGGTGAAAAATGATCACCCAACATCAAAAACTTTTCACTTTCTTGCCTTCAGTTTTGATATTGCAAAATCATTCATGTGGTCAAGCAATTTTTCAAAAAGCAGACTTTATACGGTAACTTATAGAAGGATAAAACATGAATTGGCTGTTTTGTACTCCAAAACATTTTGATACTGTTGATCCTTCCATTTTATACAAAAAAGTGACCAACTGAGGCTCAGAGGTGTAACCTCACTCGCTGAACGATTGGCGCGCGCTTATTAAAGTACCTGTCAGCTCATTGCAATTAAGAAAAAAAATTATGGTCATTACAACGCAAAACTTACGTTCTGTAACATTCAAAAATCATTTAAAGAGTTTTATCGATTTTTGTTCTGACTATCGTAACGAAAGTAAGAAAATATTTGTGCTCGGGATATTTTTTCTTCACACAAGTTTCGACATTTCAACTAGCCATTTTGGCAGAATTTTCAAGTATAACGCAAAATTTTGTTGCCCTGAGCTTAAACTCAAAAAGATATTTTACCTGTGATCATTTTTCGTAAAGTTATAGGGGTTTAAAAATTGCCATTTTGGCCAATATGGTACAATTAACTCACGATATATTGCGCGCTATGAACGCGTAAGCGGAGATTCAATCTGTCTTTCCAAATCGTTCTAAATCGTTTGAAGCAGGCAGGCAGTTTGTCATAAATGCTACTTTACTAGGAATGAAGTTGATCTCTTCATATTTTATGTGGCGTTTTCGCTTTCAAAACAAGGCGAGCTTTTTTGAAACAAGTTTCTAGCCCGGTCGAAACTCATTGAATTTCGATCCAGCGCGTGCAAAACTAGAGTGATCAAAACTTATCATATACCAGGTTGATCACAGTTCAAATACAATTATAAATACAGTTCGAATACCAGTCAAACAAATAGAATTCATTTATAAAAAATTAGAAAATCTTCAGTTTTCCTGGCAGGTTTACTAGATGGTTACTGCTAGGAATTCCACGGTTTTCCTTAGCTTCGCAAACAGGATAGCATTTTGTGTTCAACTGGGGCACTTTCAAAACTATTGTACCCACGTTTTTTTTTGATATTGTTCCGACTTTCGTAACGAAAGTAAGGGAATATTAGTTTTCTTTAGACAAGTTTTGACTTTTTAAATTGCTGCATTTGACTGAATTTTTTTAAATATCATTCAAAAACTATTGTTGTCTTGAGCTTAAATTTGGAAAGATTTTTGACCTCTGCTCGTTTTTTGTAAAGTTATGGGGGATTAGAGGGCTCTTTTCCAGTTTCTCCACCCTTTCAAATTCAATTTTGAAAAGCTTATTTAACGTTGTCATTATGCAATGAAATTTGGCGTCGTGATTAAATCGACAACAGCGTAACATCACGCATTTAGCCGTAATAACTCGTAAAACAAAGATAAAACTCGGTATTTTGAAAGAGGGGAACTGGAAAAGAGCCGTTTAAAGATTAACATTTGGCCAATTCGGGACAATTAATGCGCGATACGTTTCGCGCTATTAACGCTTTAGCGAGACTTAATCCGTCTTACAAATCGTTTCAAATTAGTTCAATGAAGCTTATATGCCATAATTGATTTTTTAATAGGCGCAAAATTTATCACTTTGTACTTAATATGGCGTCGGGGATGTTTTGACGAAAAATCTCAATTTTTTAAAAAAATTTT